AAATCACGTACGCGCTTTGAATGGCCAATCAGTGCGAAGCATCTCTTTCAAGCATCTTAACTACCGTATTTCAGACGACAACAAAAATGTACCACGCGTGTCTGGAACGAATCGCGGAAGAGCATGAGCGTCGAGGAAAAGGGAACGTTTCTGTAATGATCGCGAGTCACAATGAGGACAGTGTCAGGTAGCCTATACAGTGGTCGCTTCACAGATGAGAAAGCTTCTGATAGAAGGATACCTTTGGTGTTTTAAGGTTTGCCGTCAATCTCATGAAGGATCATGGAATCGCTCCTAGCGAAAGAATCATGTGCTTTGCTCAATTATATGGAATGTGTGATCAGGTGGGCTCTTGAAATTGATACACGGGTGAGAACAATGGCCACAGCTCTTTTTTTGTAAACCAGTTTGAAAAGGCATCACTTTTTTGTAGTGTATGCCATATTTATTGGTTGCTTTGTTTATGGCTTATCGATTTTTTGGATGCCACCCTTTGTTTATTCAAAATCAATATATATATATGGCTGTTCATGTAGCATCTTCCAAAACTTTTTGCAGGTCTCATTTTCGCTCGGCCAAGCAGGATACTCGGTCTACAAGTACCTGCCCTATGGTCCAGTCGATAAAGTGCTTCCCTACCTTTCTCGAAGAGCAATCGAGAATAGTAGCATTATAAAGAAGGCAAATAAGGAGAAGGTAAAACATTTTACTTCGTCGACTTTATATCGCATTCTAAGAAAACTCATCACTTCAACATTTGGAAATCAATGCTCATCACGATCTGAAAAAGGAGTAGAGCCTAATGGAACCCAACATTGTATATAGCAGTGGTCAAAGGAATTCGCCGAACCTGTTTTCGTGCACTGCTCTTTCCACACATGAGTTTGCTCCAAATATTGGGATATTGTGCTTTTAGCCTTTTTAGATCCCTGGGGGACAAAAGGGACACCTCACGCTGAGTATAAGTGAATCAATCCTATTGGTGAGTATGTAGGGTAGTGATGTACCGTTCTAGTGGCTGGAAGGAGGGGTACCCCCCAGGAGGCCCGTCGCGCGGCAAGAAGGCAAAGTCAGCGGACGAGTCGCGCGCGTACTATAGGGATTTCGCGTCAAGTTAAATAGAGTGTCCCACTGCACGTCCTACATCGCAC